ATTTCTCATAGCCAGCTCTCCCATTATCTCTCATTCTCATAATCTCAGGAAAAAATCCATCATTTTGTCGTCGCTCTATCATTTTCGCCGACTCGCCGTTGCCCACTCCACCATCGTCGCGTTCCCCTCTCTCTCCCTCATCTTCCCATCTCTCTTCCAAGTTCCAATCCTTACAAAAGCCCTAACACAGGAAACTCGAAATCCTTTTCCTTCTCCTGTTCAACCGAACCATATCCGCCCCGTTTCCACCATTGCTGCCGACTCGCCACCAGCTGCTACAATCTCCCTTTCATCTTCCCATCTCATACTCTTTGAAACAGAAAAACCCTAACCCCTTTATCTCATCTTTGGAATCTAATCTATGGTTCAACTGTGAACACTGAAGGTAACTGGAGAGCTCCCATTTGTATGCTTCCCTCCTCCTCCTCCTCCTCCTCCTCCTCTTCTTCTTCTTCTTCTTATCTTCTGGACTATGGTATTTTTCTGCGCAGGTCATTCAAGGGAGGAAGAGGAAACATCAAGAAATTTTTGTTTGCTTGGGTTTTTTCTAGCAGAGGATTTCAGGTCTATATCAAACTGACTGGAACATCTTAGACCCATCATAACAATCTTCCTGATTCTAATCTGGTAAAATTAAATCAATGCTCTCCTCTAAGTTTTCTATTCTTTCTTCAATATATTATATATATTATATATGATGCATGAAAAGCTTAGACACTTAAATGGTTGCTTCATCTTGGTTGTTTTCAATAGGTGTTATCTGATTGGTTACCCCAAGCAATTATATCTAGAAATAATCCATTTCTTCTATTTTATTTTGTAATTTGATTAGGAGATCTGCAAACAATTTGGCCGATGGTTTAGCTAAACAAGGAATTCAGAGACAATCCATGTTTTGGACTGTTTTGAAATTATTGGGATAGTTTTTAGGCCTGTTGTTTCTGCCCACAACCTCTTGTTGTATTACTTCTTATTTTAATGAATCAACTTTGTGTTGCTGATAAGAAAACAAAAAAAAAATGGAGTCATATCCCTGTTTTCTATATCCGTGTTCATATCTTGACATCATACAAACTATTTGGTGAGTTTTCTTATTGTAGGGATTATATATGAATTAACAAAAAAAGAAATTTATACTTACCCATATAAGGACAGCGTATGTCTTATTGTAGAGATTATATATGCAACAGGCATATGCTCGCCTGTTTGATGTGTGGTTTGAACGGGAAAGAAGTCTAGTTGGCCTGATCAGGCCACCATGTGGATGAATCATTTGCTCAATCCAAATGATCTATCAGATGGAACATCTTCTAGATTTAGTATCTGTTCAGTTTGCAGTCCATATCAGATAGCTTCTGCTATTTTTTGGCTTAAATTTAAGAGCCTATAAGGACTCTTTCTAAGCACATGGAAAGAGTTCGTTTTGGGCTGGAATATAATAAGACTTGTTTTGGGCACTTTTGTAATGCTGTCTTGGGTCAGCTCCTATGCTGATTTCTTTGTAACTTCTTGTTGTATATTAAAGCTTCTTAATTAATGAAAATTTTCAGAGTTATTGATAAATAAAACATGAAAACACACACACAAACACAAAATATCTCTAAGCCAAACCTCAATAAAGAGAACTCCATAAGATACTATTTATAAACATTCACAGCATCATAAGTACTTATTAGGTTGAAGGCAAGGCTTAGGTCAGAAATGGAAAACTATACAAGATAATTCGTGGATGAAGGCACATCGGTAATATTCATCCATTTTTCTCTTACTTCTTGCTGTATTTGGGAAATAAAAAATCAAGAATGATGCTAAGGTTTTAAATGTATTGTTTTTGTGACATTTAGGTGCTCTGATGAATTCAGATTAGGTGTCATGACTATGGCGGTCTATGCATTTGAGCATGGTGCTGCTGATTCTCAGTGCCATATAAAATGCCTTTGCAAAAGGTGCTGCAATTGAAGGTTTCAAACATGGAAAGATGTGGTGACTCATTGTTGTACTTGGGGTATTATGGAGAATTATGATATTTGAACTGCACATGGTGAGGGAAGACCACATGTCAATTCAACAAATTTGGGATCACATTCAAATGTAAATGTGAGAGAAGAGGAAGATGTAAGGAAGATGCTTGAGGATATTTACCCCATGTGCTTTGAGGATGACCACCAAGTGGATGAATCGGGAATATCTCTAGAAGAGCCATATGGGGATATGGAAACTTTCTTACACTTCATTAAGGATGCAGAAGAGCCATTATGGTCTGGAAACAAACACTTCACAGTGATGTCATTCATTGTGACAATTCTCCACCTCAAATCATTGTATGGTTGGATCAATATATCCTTTAATGAACTTTTGAAGGTGTTTATAAAGGCAATGCCCGATGATGCCAAATGTCCTAGCAGTTTTTCACAGTGCAAGAAGGTTATTGCAAATATTGGGTGTAAGATGGAGAAAATCGATGCGTGTAAAAATGGCTGTATGCTTTTTTGGGGTGATGATGTGGAAAAGGACATGTGTGATAAGTGTGGTGAATCGAGATGGAAGAGTGACAATAATTGTGAATTAGACGATTGTGATCAGGATGCTACCCTTTCAAGAGGAAAAGGCCTGTGAAGGTGTTACGGTACTTCCCTATCATCCCGAGATTACAACGACTATTCATGTCAAGTAAGACTTCCTAGAGTATGACATGGCATGAGGATGGAAGGACAAAAGATGGAATGCTTCGCCATCTAGCTGACGGAGATGCTTGGATAGATTTCAATCAAAGGTATCCAGACCTTGCAGTTGATAAGAGGAATATACAATTGGCATTAGCAACTGATGCCAGTGGAGATATTTTCTTTGCAGCCATGTTTAGAAAGTACCAATAAGCAAAGGTACCATGGAGAATCATTAGTTTGCAGCATTGAAGTGTTAGGAGATAAAGGAACAAGAACATTCTTTTAATATAAAAATCACATTAATCTGGCTCTCCAACTGTAATATAAAATCTAAGCATTGAACTAGATCACCCAAGTAGTTGCGAAAATCTAGGTTGATCAGTACCATACATTTAACGCACCAAGGACCTAGAATTGATTGTTCTCAAGCATACATACATACGGAGGAGGGTACACGGTGGATGATGAATAGAGTAATGATTTATGCTAATTGATAGAACTTCTCTCATACACATCTAGAAGTTGGGGAAAGTTTTAGACAGTCACTGGATAATCTCCCATCAACTTGTATGCAGATCACACTGAGATTTCAGTCTATTGGTTGCTATAAGTGCACAACTGCACATATTTCTTCTGATGAAGACAATACAATTCCTGTTTTGTTTCCTCGTGAACTAGAAGCTTCAATCCCATTGGGAACCTTTCAGAATAGAAACTAAATGATTTATGTTATGTCACTCTATCTTCTGCAGTTGTATTTTCAAGCACGGGTGTCTGGATTACTTCAGAATTTGAATTTGTTAAACTAAAAAAAAAAAGGAAAGAATCATTATGTGTTAATAATGAATTTGAAACGAGAGGACTTCAGTGGGTTTGTAATGTAACTTGGAATTGATTCTAATGCTTTCCTTGTTTACTTTTTGATTTTCTCCATCCTCTCTTTCCTTGTTTTGTAGTAAGTATTAAGCAATAACTAATAACTCTTCTTTTGTAGTACAATCCATGGGCCCAAGTAACTGAACTTTCATGTTATGTGGTAAAGCACCAAAGCCAAATGGTTAATTTACAAACGCAAACCCAATCAGAGAAATGGGACAACACCAACAATATATGGCTATATCCTGTCCTTTCAATACAATTGTTCTGTACATATCTTCTCCTGGTCCTGGAGTACTATGTACAAACTCTTGTGATCCCTGTTCTAGTTAGAGAATTTTCCCAAGTATTTATTCATAAAAAAAATGCCAAAGTATTTGCTATTTTAAGTATCCTCCTGAGTTCTGACAAGAAACTCGGGTTAGCAATTAGAGCCCTTATCTAACCATGAATATTAGTATCTGTGGTGCATATTTACCTCAGTCATCCATTTTATCACCACTTGACAGTCTCCATCCACTTGTAACTCATTCCTGCCAGTTGTTGAATCAAACTTTAACTCATATAGTACGGCTAACAAATTTTCCATTAGCAAGTTTTTATTTTTTAATACCTATGTGCCCTGAGAAACTAAATAGAATGATTCCTCTATTACCTGAAGTGGGTTTATCATATTTCTAATATTCATGGTTAGATTTGTTTTAAATATGTTCAATAACACATTAGATATGTTTAAAATAAACTAGCAAGAGGTGTTTTTGTGATTATACCAAAACATGTTTCTTGTTATGTTTGGATAGGACGAAAACATTTTTCTTAGTGTTTGATTCAAATATTGATACACCATTGTTATGTGGTTGTTGCATAGAAACAATCTAAAAAATTACAATTGATCCAACATCATTCTCATTCTGTGTCTGTGAATCGTGGACTTTAAAGAACCATGGACTTAAGCACAAGATAAGGGAAGCTAGACACTTATGTCAGTGAACACAATTCAAAATCTCCTGGACCCCTAGATCTGCTAACTCTTTCTCAGACTCCCTTGCTCATGAAGGAGTGGAAGGCAGCAGTTGAGTTGTGGTGGGATGAATATCCTTTGGGTTAATGTTTTCTATGCATGGGGCTCTCAATTGGGCTGGGTTTGTCCAATGTTATTGGTTTTTTTTTCTTTTTTTGGTTCTGTAAATAAATATGTACATCAGTTTTGTTATCATTATTAAAATTCTGAATGCTACATCAAGAAAATAACTGGTGAAGCTCATTCTACAGCTGCACCCTCAAAGGCTACCAAAGAGGCTCCAAGGTCTCTCTCTCTCTCAAGGGTGGATGAATTCTGGGTGGCTCTTAGCCTCTTAGGCTTTTACTAGTCAAAGAAGAGGGGTGGAGTGGTCCCACTACCACGTGCACCCTTCCCACTATGACAGGAGAAGTTTCTCTAGTAACATGGTTGTTTCGCAGTTACCATGAAAAGTGCAAGGGCCTTTTAGTGCCCAAGGCACATGGTGCAAGGTGAGGCATGTTTCTTTTTAAAGCTAGACCAAATTTTTTGAAAAAATAAAAAAATAAAAAAGAATAAAAAAAAGTATTACATAAAAATGTAATCTTGAATTTTGAAAGAAATTTCTTATGTTTTAAAAACCTATTGGCTCAAATCAAAATACCTAAACATGACATATTCAATGTGAAATCATAGAAGTGAAAGCAAACATATGTCAATTGTACCAAAGTGCTACCGTTTCTGATAAAAAAAAATTGTACCAAGGTGCTTCAAGAAGTCAACAATTCTACCATGTGAATCTGTTTATTTATTTCCTACTTTTCGTAACTAGTGTGATGTTAAACATCTTAAATTCCTAATCCTAGGAGATTAGTGCTCCATCTCTATAAAGGCCCTTGAGGCAAGACAAACAAGTCCTTGCAGGGGTTTGGGTAGCACACTAGCACTTCCTGCCTAAATTTTTGGCCTGGATATATAAAGAGATTGGTTTTGTGATTTTAGTCATTGTTCATTCTATTTCAGTGTTAGAAATGAGATATTAGTTGTGTTGTTGCTTCTTTAATGGAAATTTTTATGTTTGAGATTTTATTTTCAAGAGCCAAGGTTTAAAGTATTTGGGAGGATTTTGTCTATGTTTATTTTTAAAAGTTAACACGCCATTGCAAGTGTAAAAACAACAATAAAAGGTAATTTAGAAGTTGAAAAACCATTGCCAAAGGTTTAAATTCACAAAGAAAGAAAAAAAAAAGACACTTTAAAAAGGTATGTACGATCTGGGCTAAGGAACAAGCCGCACAAGGCACACGCACCTAGAAAGCACCAAGTACACACCTTTTGAAAGGGTCTGTGTGTGGGTTCAAGCTAGGTGCATGCCTTGAAACATTGAAATAAACAGAAATTTTATAGGTTTGTGTTGTTTATTTTTCAATTGATGGAGCTAATGCTGCCATATTTTGTAGGTTGTGGGAAGATAAACGCTTCTCTTTTGTCAGTGTGCTTCATGATCCTATCAAAGAGGATTTGCATTAGGAGTATTCTTTTCATGGTTTCTTCATCAATATCTTCTCCCTTTGTTTATGCTATCTCTGCCAATTGCTCTCCTCTCCTCTCACCGTTGCATTTGTTTGGTGGAGATGGATTTTTCTGCTCTATTAGAAACTTAACTGGCCATCAAAGACAGTGTCAAGATTCAACTTCAAGAGTAGAGTCTTACCTTGAAAAAGTTGTCAATAAAGTTCGTGTTGGGAGCAATGAGAATGAGTTCTTGCAATACCTCCTACAAGATCAATCTTGTTGTAGTATCCAGCTATCAGACCAACTTGTTGACAAATTACTCAACATATTCGAGGATGACTGGAGGTCTGCTTTGGGTCTTTTTCGATGGGCAGGATCACGGCCTACTTATAAGCACTCTCCTGAAGTATACAACAAGATGGTGGATATATTGGGAAAAATGAAGCAAATGGATAGGATGTGGTTATTAGTAGAGGAAATGCATAAGGAGTGTGTGATTACACTGACCACAATGGCCAAAGTCATGAGAAGGCTAGCAGGTGCAGGGAGATGGGAAGACGCAATGAGGGCATTTGATCGCTTAGATTCTTTTGGCTTAGAGAAGAACACAGAATCCATGAACCTGCTGCTTGACACCCTTTGTAAAGAGAATAATGTTGAGCTTGCTCGTGAAGCCTTTTTGAAGCTTAAGTCACATATTACTCCAAATTCTCATACTTTTAATATTTTCATCCATGGTTGGTGCAAAGCCAATAAAGTTGACGAGGCACATTGGACAATCCAAGAAATGAAAGGACATGGCTGTCACCCATGTGTAATAAGCTATTCAACGATAATCCTAGCCTTTTGTAGGCAATCCAATTTTCGCAAGGTTTATGAGATCCTCGATGAGATGGAAGCTCAAGGTTGCCCTCCAAATATTGTTACATACACCACAATCATGTATTCACTTGCCAAATCTGATGAATTTGATGAAGCCTTGCAAATACACAAGAGAATGAAATCAGTTGGATGCAAACCTGATACACTTTTCTATAATGCCTTGATCTACATATTAGGAAGAGCAGGCCAAGTACAGGATGCTGTTCGGGTATTTGAGGTAGATATGCCCATGAATGGAGTGCTACCAAATTCCTCCACCTACAATACCATGATTTCCATGTTTTGCCATCATTCTGAGGAACAAAATGCTTTAAATATCCTGAAGCAGATGGAAATGTCTGCAACTTGTAAGCCTGACCTTCAAACATATAGTCCACTGATCAAAATGTGCTTTAAAACTGGAAGAACTGATGGCCTTCTGAGCAATTTATTGAATGACATAGTCAACAAACACCATCTAAGTATTGACCTTTCAATTTACACACTTATGATTCATGGTCTTTGTAGAGCAAACAAATGTGAGTGGGCTTACCTCATTTTTGAGGAGATGAGAAGTAAAGAAATAATTCCTAGATATCAAACATGTTGTTTACTTTTGGATGAAGTTAAACAGAAGAATATGTATGGTGCTGCTGATATGATTGAAGCTGTAATGAAGCAGATAAAGACTTGCAATTAAAAGTTAAAAACATTGAAGCCCAATTTTGTTTTTGCTGTTGCAACTGCATTGACAAGCTTCATGCGATTTTCCTGCATCATGACATTCAGATTTCTCATCTCTGTAGCAAAATATCCAATCTTAAAGTTCAGGTGGCATGCAATAATTGTTGATGTTAATATTGAAATCTGGGTCTCAATTAGTAACTATCAACACGTCTTTTGCTTACCCAACAAAGGAGAGAGGAGTATGATGTGTTGTTCTAGGAAAGTGATCAAATTTTTTGGAGAGGCACAGGGATTTCATAAATGTTAGACGTTGCCTATTACTAATGCGGTCTAAGAATGGAAAAGATCATACTAGTTAAATGGCAGTAACTACCTAAGATACATGGTTTGAATGAAATTACCGATTTACCATTTAGGGAGAGGTATGACTTTGATAATAATTGGTTATCTACTGACTCATTGTGTTTGTAGAACCTTTCATATCTAGCTGAATGCATTATGCATTGTTCTTACACCAACATGTGCACTAGGCGAAAGCATTGGTTTACTGTGAATATATGGCTCATTTTGGAAAAAGTACAAATGCAAATATGTAGAATGCAAAACCTTATATTTTTTGTATTATTTTGTATGTATTTGTACTGTACATATTTGCATTTGTACTCCTCCCAAACTGAGCCATAGGAGCATGAATTGAACATCAATTGATAAAAAACTAGAAATCGGGAAGCAAAATGTTCGTACTTTAGCGGGAGGAGTTATCATATTCATAACAATGCAGGAGCTGCAGTTCCTTCCTTGCACTTAAATGCCAACCTGATCAGGATCCTTGTGTAGAAGCTTCTTCTGCAGTACTTTTGAACTAATATGCCTTATCCCAAGTTCCCCCTGAACATGATCAATTACTTAGTGAGGTACTTTTGTGTGTACAGACTTGTGCTTTGAGTTTTATAGGTTATCACATATTGAGGAATGCAATATAGCTGACCTGACCATCTTTGAGTTAGGCATTGTCCAGGCAATGTTGAGGAATGCAATATAGCTGAAGTAGCGGGTTAGAGGTTGAACCATCTCAATGAAGTGGGTCAACCCATGATGTTATGATTAAATAAAATTAAAAATAAATAAAAACATAAATTCGTAAAAAATAATGGGCAAAGAGTAATATTATAGATTCTAAATATTAAATAAAGACAAGTATGATATAATGATAAGTAATAAATACATTTATTAACAAAGATTGCCTTGGGTGGGGATGGTTAGGGGTGCAACTTGGGTGGGCCTAGCATAAGCCTGAACTGATCCAACCCAAAATTTTACAAGGGTTGGGCTTGGATTTTCAGTCCTCGGGCTCAAGAAATCAGGCTTTTTATTTCTCAGGCCGGGCCTGGGCCTAACCCTTAGGTAGCCCGAACCAGAACCAACTATACACATTCGTACATACATATGTACATATGTATATATGTAAATTTTGTATACATATTTAAATGGTGGCAGAGCCAGATT